GCTGAATCAAAGTTACCTTCATGCATAAAAGTACCAGCAGAATGGCCCTGTAACATCTGTTTTTCAAACATATTGACGTTCCTCTGAACATTTATTTCCTCAATTTATGCATGGGTGTCTCTCTCTCTCTCTGGAAAATCTGTAAACCTAAGAATATTTCCTCCTGCTGGTGGAGTTTCTCCACCCTTTCAGTGTTCCATCTGCTAATTAAGACAAATATTGTGTTGATGCTATACTGTCAGCCCTGATATGATAGCTTTCCAGCGTTTTCAAGGCAATACGGAGGGTGCTGAAACTCAAAATGTGCAGTCATTTTCCTGGCCGTGGCATTTCTTCCAGGAGCCCCCCAGCTGTTTTAGCATATGTCAGCATATCACAGGGATGCCGACGTTGCGCCGGCATTTAATGATGCCACTGTGCTGCTGATGGTGATGCCTTAATGATCGTGGTGTGCGGTTTCTGATAAACGGCTATAATCTGCAAGTGATTATGAACAATCATTTTCAGGGGAGCCGCTTTTGTAATATGTGTTTCAATAATGGTGTGATGTGAGGTAAAGCGGTGTTTGATCAATGCATTATTCTGTAATGTTGTCCTGTTTGGAAGTTAAATGACTATAGGAGCAGAATTGTCATGTCTCGCTCTGGCAGTCGAGTTTTCTACGCCGAGACTGTTTTATGAGCTAAAATGTGTGGCATCACAGATATGCACAAAAAAAGAATTATCACACAAGGCCGACAGCAGCAGCAAAAACACTAGTTTAAAAGTCTGTGATATCACAAAGCAGATACTGTATGTATAAGCATACAGCTGGGTGGTGCAATGGTAATGCAATTGCCTTTCAAACAGATCCAGACAATGCAAACCTTACCTTTGTACCTGCTGCAATACCTACTGAATTTAACTTCAACATAGTGATCTAAAATTAGACAAACATAAGACAGCATTTAGACTGAACTTGATACAAGATGCAGACTTCAGTTTAGTAAACTCAACAAGGCTTCTAAAGTTCTAAACGATCCAGAAAGATAAAAAAAATCTTAGAGCAATTTGCCCCATTTTTGCCATGGCCTCTTTCTCTATTTCTCAGCCTTGTTCTCTCTATTCCTACGGGGCTACTGTAACTGCAGTTGACTGCAATAAGGGACTGCAGGGAAGGATACTGAATACTAAGCTGGCCAAGTCAGACAGCCTACATTTTGATCCAACCCTCCCATGAATAGACAGAAAGCTCCTATCGGGCTATAGAACTATGGTGTGGCAGTTGTTAATGAACAAATCCAATAGCTGAACATCTGTTTACATGATGCTCGGGGGAGTTGAATTTTAATAAGCTACGCATGGAGATGTCTGACTGCAAAGTTTGGACTCGAGCATGAGTAAGAGGAATCGAGAGCAAAATTACAAATGAGGCTTCTGGTTACATGACTCGTCCTCACGTCCTTCAGTATAAAAATCAATACACGAAACTGCAGCACATTAATCTTTTTTTCTTCAGACCAATTAAAATTCCTTTCCCCATCTTTTAGCAAGTATGTATCTGAAATCATTTTCCCTTATTCCCATCTTGTGCTCTTTCCCAGCAGGACCCTGCAATCTCCAGATCAGTAATTATAGTAGCCTATGTTTGGATACACCATACCTGAAATTTGCTGGTATGGTGTCTCAATTTACAATCCCACTCTCAAGCTTTCAGTTTTATTTACTTCTGCCACAGACCTTCGATTGTGGATTCTTTATCTTTTGGTCAGACGTATGGAATTTAACAGAAGATAGTTTCATGAATTTTGGGAAAAGAAGGAACAATCTTTAAAAAATGGGGTGGATTGTGCAGTTTGTTTTAATAACATAAATGACTTGCACACACAGACTGTACATAAGAGATGTATGCAACCACTGAGAAAATCCCCCATTGGTTAGTAAAGTTTCATCCCAAAGGCTGAGGTGATAGTTGCATCTTAGCATTTTGAAACCAGCCCTAGTTGGGTGTGGCCACAAACAGGCCCACTCGTAGGGTAAGAAATTACCAATCACAAGGTAGGCCTGCCCCAAGGCAAATGCTGCTTTATTGCTGTGTTTTAACAGGGAGCATCATTTCTAGAATGAACATCATGCTGTGTTTAACAAACTAGCCACTGAGACCATAAAACTCATTAGGAAAGTATTTGCTGGGCTCATAGATCAAGCTACTGAAGGTTTGTATTTCCCACAGAGATTACTGAAATCTTTCTTGTTTTGGTAGCAAAACGACCCCCAACCCCCTTTCACTTTTTACGTGTCATTTTTCAGACCCGGAAACCAAGCCCACTTTTTAAATACAGTCAATTGCGTGGTTGCCAAGAAGGGATGGGCATTCTTCCAAAATCATCCATCATATTATAACCACAAAAAAAAAGATAACCTTTTCTTTTTTTTGTAGCTCAGTGACTAATATTAGAAAATCATGCACATCCCTACCCCCAAGGCTAACAAACTTTACTCCCTAAATAACTGATGAATAATGAGGCTTTTACCTCTATTTGCAAACCTGTACACAGATGTCTCCCAATCTCTCTCTAGTCAAATTTGTGAATTTAATTTTTGTGGACGTGTACAAGTCCTGCAAATCTATCATTAGAGCTTGTGTGTGCACAGTCACATATGAAGATGTGCAATAAAAACATCCCAGTCTGTATTCAGCTTCAAAACTGTGTTGCTGAGAAAAGCAGACAAGTCGGGCGAGCCTCTCTATGGGAGAAAGTTGTCTGCAGTCACGTTTTCCTTTTGCCCTGAAATTTGTATTTTTTTTTAGCAAACTTTATTAAGCATAATTCACTGGATTTTGAACCCAGACTTTCTCTGTGAAGGTCAAAAACTTGACCCTACCTTACAAAGTTAATATAGTACCTTACAAAGCCTATTTTCAGTAGTAACAGTATTTTTCTTTGACCACAATATTTTGTTTACCATGGTTGAATCAGACTGTCAGCATTTTATGTTACTAAAAATAACTCCCTCATAAGTGATATACATGTATTCAGCTATGTATAAGCTTTGATAAACTTCTGATACCTGAGCCCTCCACACTAGTAGTGTCTTTGGGGAGGACACTGAACTAACTTGCTCCTGATGCCAGACAAGCTCCTTGCATTCCAGCTCCACGGTTGAGTGTGTGTATGTGTGTGTCTGCTTATGTGAAACTCATTACAAAGCCCTTATAGAACCTGGCAAAGGTTGAATAATATTCTGTAAGTGGTCCTTAACACATTTCACAGTTAAGATATGAAAGGAATAAATAACAATACCGGTCTGCATCAGTACAGGGTGTACTCCACTTCTCACTGGGAAAGGCTCCACTGCGACCTTGAATTGGGTAAGCGAGAGAAGATGCATGGATGGATGGATAAATATAAGAGTACTTGGATTCACTGAACAGTTATTGGATAGTCTGGGTCCTGATGAGAAAGCAAGTGAAAAGCAGTGAGTACACACATTTTTCTTCTCAAGAACATAACATAAAACCATATATGTAATAGCATGTACGGTGTTATGTTTAGAGAATGTGTGCACTTGCATACCTATCAAGCAGCAGACTATGGCATCAGTAGCCAATTCACCAACAGGGGGACCTCAGAAATTCCCTCTCACGTTTCCCAGGTGGTCACGCTTTAACTCGTGTTCTCATTATGCCTGAAGCCCTCTGGTGAAGTTATTTTAATTTTGACCAAAGGCCTGTGAGTGTTAAAGTTCATACTCAGCAGTGATTCAGCAGCCTTTTGCTGAAAATGCAACGACCCACTTACACACATCATTTATTCACACCCCATTGTTTGAACGGCTTGCTGCCCTAGGGAGGCTTTGAGACTGTAGATGGGCTTTTTAACAAGCTAGCAGATCAGTCTCTCCAAACATGACTTGATGTTATCGTTTTGTAACCAGGCTTTAAAAAAACGAAACCAAGTATATCACGAAACACAAAAACTATTTCAGTGTGTAACTTGGCTACCTGCCGTGTTATCAACCATTAACATTAAGCGTGATAATTCACTATTAATGGAGGAAAGAGAGAGAACAGAGAGAGCAAAAGAGGCAGGTGATCTTTTTTGAGTATGGGCTGCTCTGCTGCTGACATTTGAAATCATTGAAAATAGCTTGTATTTAAAATGCCATTGATTTTAGGTGTTTTTTTTAATAAGTCATTGAATATGTATGATGTGTTAATGAGAAACGCCATTAACAAATGTTAATCATTTCTGTGTTATTTGGTTTGGTGTGAGAATACTGAAAAGTTTAAACAAGTGCAGATATGGAAGTGGATTACTTTGTAGCTTTTAAACATAGCAATAAATAAATAAATGAATAAATAAACCTTTCTTTACTTCACACTTAAAAAGTGATCTTTATACAAACCAGTGTTATTAACGGTAGTTATTTGGGCCAAACGCTGTAAATTTGGAATTTTACCTCAAACGCAGGACTGCCTTCAATGGCATTGTGGGAATTGTAGTGTTGCTCAACCTTGACTGACCCCGACGAAGGACTAAAAGTTAGATTATTCTGAATCGTTTTAGCCCCTTTACTAAGGAACTTTGATATTTATGCTAAAAATGTAACTTAGTGCATTTTAATTCAACCCTTTGCCACAATTAATTTTTGTCCGTTTGAACAACAAACTCAGAATTCTCAACTCTCAAAACACTAACTTTGAATCCAGTGCAGGGATTAGGCATTAAAAAGGGTAAGTGGCTAATTTGAGTGTTATAAAGACAAACCTCACCACCACTTTCGACCTTTTTTTTCTTTCTTTTTTTGTGTGTAAAACTGGGCAGGCAGACTGACCTGTAAACAACGTTACATATAATGTGAATGTGAGTCGAAAAGTTAACATCTCGCTATGTGCCCGGTGACACGTGTAAAGGCTCTTAAAGCACACAAAGAGTCAGTGTGTGTCCAGTGGTACCGCGACGTCAGTGTCTCTGGCACTGAGCTGAGTTGGTCGGGGCCATGCAGCAGAGGCAGCAACGTCACTCCCTGACGGCGGCATCAGAGCAGCACGGACGGCCATCCGCGCAGCAGCGAGTCGCTCACTCCGGAACTCGGCGAAGGAAGACGGCGTCGGACAGCGGCTTTCTGCTGTGGGGCAAATTATTTCTTTTTACCGCGACTTTCCGCTTTTGTGGCTGAGGTAACCAGAAGCCGCTTTATATGGGAACGTTTTTTTCTTTATTCATTTAAAGGTGTGTTTTCTGTTTTTTTCCCTTGTCAACTAGCTACACGGAACAGCATGGGTACCAAACGTTTCGAGTACAATGACTAGCTTCCCGCACTGTAGCCATAAACTGAGGGTTGCTATGGTACTGCCAGGCAACATCCCACCTGCTGCTGCCGCGACTGTATGTATTTCTCGCTGCTGTCAATCAAAACACGTTGAAATTAATAAAAACAAATCGCTTTTCGAGGGTTTTAACCAGGCTATACGTTTGTTGAGAATGTATGTATTTTAGTTGTGCTGTTTTGTCTTAGCCAGCTGTTTGAATCAGTCATTTCACAACGTGACTTCATTTTCTGCTCGTTTAGGCTGTGCTGATTTAACGCAGAATACTTTAATAGCAGCCTCTACAGTTAAATTGACAGCACTCTTCTAGCTGCATATTGTGTGATGCCTGCTGGCTACACTCAGCAGCTTAGGCAGTCACTACAAAGGTCGTCTTGTTTTGAGTGTTTTTCCAGTTAAGTGCCCATGTGTCTGTGGCTCTAGGTGACAGTCCAGTCCATTTCTCATGAAACGTAGCACATGCCTGTCATTCCCTTTGTAACTGCTGTCTGTTTGTTTATTTTCATAGTGTCTGTGTAATATCCAGGACCAGAAGGCTTGAGCAAACGCAAAATGGTGATTACCAGCGTGGCATCCCTCGCAAAGACATCGCTGGCCGTGGACGCAGAGTACAGATGTTTGCAGTGAAGGTGCATAGTGCGTACAGTAGTCTTCTAATTCTGTGGCTCAGACAGCTGCTGTGGTTAACCGTCAGTGCATGCCAACGCCCGGCCCACGGTACAAAGAAATTCCATTATCCCCATCTCTGTGACAGAGAGGAAGAAACCACCATGCCGTGTTGTCATGAGGCCAGAAAAGGAGGGAGAATTATGAGTCAGAATGGAGGAGAGAAAAAAAAGAAAACTGTCACTCTTCAAATACATCTAAACTTGGTAGACAGCTCACATGCTTATTTTAAGAGCAGCACCGGATCTCTTTTGTGCTGTTCAGTTGGCATCAGAGCTGTAGAACCATGAACAGACTTGGCGTCTTTCTGGTATCTTCTTTTTTTCCCCCTAGAAATTATTACTGAAGCCTTTTAGAACTGTTTTTTTACACTGTGGTGTCTGTGTAAATTCCAAGGATTAGAGCTAACGTTTTAGAGCGAGCGCAAAGTGCAGCGGGGGGCATCCAAGTCGAGCTCTGTTCATTGTATTTTAGTTTACACACCTCCTTATCTCAGCTGTCAAGAGGGAGGACTCTTTTTCTACAGTAACTTACCCTGAGCAATAGAGATAGTGGTGGGAAAGGAGGGGTGGGAGGAGTGAGAAGAACAGAGAATGACTGTGAGGGAGCGAGCGTGCTTAACCCAGCCACTGAGTGACTCTTGTATCCAAGGACGAAGGTAGCAACGCGTCCAAACGCCACTCTTCGCCCACGGGCTGCTGTGAAGAAATGAGGCGGACACATAGGCGCTCCACAGCGCTCGTATATAGACTCAACAGCCTGCTGGGTCCTCTTCACGTGGTCCCCTGGGGTTTGACTCGTCTGTGTGGAGTGCTGATGGCTGAGCAGATCATGACCGCAGCTAGAGTGATATACACAGAACGATTAGTGTGAATGGGAGTGTTTTAGTTCCTTTTCTGACAAAGCAAACTCAAATAAAAGTGTCTTTCTCCTATCTCACCCGTGTCTTCGCACCTAAACTAGCCCCACTTCTCTTGCGTGTTTTGGCAGAGGAGCAGACTGGCGAGGACGTAGTAACAGGTGATACGTGCCAGCGTGGATTTGGAGGCGTCGAAGAGAGCTGAAGATCATGGGTAAATCCAACAGCAAGCTCAAGCCAGAGGTGGTAGAGGAGTTGACAAGGAAAACCTACTGTGAGTAACTGAAAGTGTGTTTGTTTTTTGCTTGTTCTTACAAAGAAAAACTTTGCGGAAACTTTTTCTGTGAGCTTGTCATAGCCTGTTGGCCTGAGGTTAAAGAACATACAGCTTGTAATAGGAATACATAATACAGAGTTTATTGCTGCGGTTTGCTAATCTCATTTTCCACCCACTGTGCACCACACAGGCTTAAGAGTAAATAACGCTGCCTGCTGGGATGCTTTGGGATGCTATACATTTTTCACCACTGACAGAGCAGATGTCAGTTGCGAATGATCTCCTCATTTGTTTCAAATTTCAGATTCTTGAATGTATCGCAGACTGTGATCAGCTAAAGCTGAGTAAAAAGTTGCAAGTGGGGTCTTTAAGTTACGCTGAGGACATAGTAGAGTTTGTGGCAGCTGTAATGATAGCTTTTCTTTACCGATGAGAATGTGGTTTTATGTGCTGCGCTTGTAAACATGCTGTATGTTCTACTTCTAATGTGACAGACATTGATAAATTTAAACGTAGAAAGGGTAAATCAATTCACGCCATGCTTGTGCCGCCACACTTATAAATTGCATTCCTGCGTCAAGATCGATGGATGGGGTGGGCTCACAGAAAGGGGACTGACCCTCCAATAAAGAACTGTAGCGAAGGTGCGACTTTGTAATTATATCTTCGATTGTTGTTCCCGTTGATGCATTAGGGTGCAAATTGACTGTATTTCTACCATCTTACCAGCTGTTGCTTATTAACGTCTGCTCAGCTATCACTTTGGATCACATTTCTAATTACCACCAGCAATGTCTGCTTGGTATCCACTGTATTAACCACTTGTGTGTTATTTTTGGAGCGCAGCATTGCTATTATTATTATTATTATTATTATTTGAGCACCGTGGTGTGCAGGTGTGGGTGGGAGTTGACATCCCCTGGCTGCTTAATGACAGTGTTATTTGTGTGGTGGGTCTCTCCACAGCAGAACCAAGGAAGGCTGTTGTAGCAGGAAATTGCTGTGGAGGAAGATTAGACTTCATGCTGGGCTGGACTGCTTGCTGCTGTCCCTTTCTCTCTCTCGCTCTCTCCCCCTGTCTGACTGGTTTTCTCATTCTCTCTTAACCTTTCACCCTGCCTCTTTTGCTTTTCCCCCTAACCGCCTTCTTTGAGCAGGGAATGGAATAGTATAATTAGGATCTTATCTGGTTAGCTTTTCTCTCCCAGCGTGATCGTTCTCTTGTTGCTACTGTTGTTGCTTGACTTGAGACTATCGTTTCTGCTTTCCTTCATCCTGTTACCTCTTTCTCTTGCGCTCCCATGAGAAGCGTAGTCTGCCATTTTAGTCAATGCTTTCCTTTGGTCCTTGACAGATTGGGGACTCAGTAAATTTCCCTGTGCCCCTCTGTTTGTGTTTGTTTGTGTCTGGTAAAAGATGCAGGATGTTTTGCACAGAAAATAATGGGTGTTAAAAGGTAAACAGCAAGGCCAGAATTGAGGCCTATTTATTTACGAGGAATAAATGCTGACATCTGGATTTATTGTATTTTAGAAAATTTCTTATGAGCACATTTTTGGAATTTTTTTTTTTGTTATCGTCAGTAAAACACCAACAGTAGGCTGTGCAACAGCTCTCACTAATGAGTGATTTTTCTGCTCTTTAGTGGAAAACAGTAGGGAATAGTTACAAACTCGTTCCTCCCCATAAATGCTTCCCTGAATGACTGTTCTGGCATTACATGGAAGGACCAGAAATCCTATTAAAATGTCTGCAGGATGTAGCATAGGCCCATGTATCAGCATGAAGATTTTTTTTTCTTTTTCTTTTTTTGAAGTGAAAAGAGACGATGACACTCATAGCGATGGAGGCACAAGCTGAATGTGTTCTAGCTAGACCCTGCAGGGCCAACGACTGAGTGGGCCCCGCACCCTCCTGCAACTGGCTGATTGCATTATTGCCCATTGCTGCTGACTGAGTTATGTAACACGGTTTTTTATTAAATCGCAGCCATGGTAAATTGCCTCAATTTCTGACTGCAGCAATGGCTTTTGAGGCCAATTTAATGCTAGCTTGGCTTGGCTAAAAGTAGTGAGATTGACCCTGTCATTTACTGACCAGAAAATGGTCACAGGATGAGTTTCTCGGTTAAAATGCTGAGCAGAACAAATTGAGATGGAGATATATGCAGAGCTCCTTATCCGTAGTCCCTGTATTGTTTTGCTCTTGATCTGAGGTAGTCGCATTATCACAAACATTTTGGTAAATATCATGTTTTGTGTTTCAGGTGTTTCTTTTCTTTTTTTCCCAATTTTTTTTTGAGGGTTTTTTTTGTTTTTTTTTTTTTTTTTAATTTGTCTGTCTCCTACAATGCGAGACTGCTGGATAATGTAATTTTATATTTTTATTTTTTTTACAGGAGAATGTAGCCTTGCTTACTCAATGCTTTTTACCCTCTCTGTGTTTTACCTGGCTAGTAACCATGACTATGAGCTGCTCAAGGTTCAACATTACAGTAGATGAAATTAGTGATTAAGTTACTGTCGTTTTGTTATCTTTAAAAGCCTTTTACTTTCCCCCGGGCCAAACAGAAGTGGTGGTAGACAGCATCTATTGTCAGCTTGCTGCAGCAGCAGCAACATGAGTTCAGAGTGCCTCTCAAAAGACCACCTGGTTAAACTAATGCTATTGATTTCCAGCCCTTTTTTTTTCATTAGTAATCCCAGGAGCCAAGAGGCTGAAAATTACTTTGGTTACTTGAGAGAAAGTAGAGAAACAAGGGAAAGGCATGTGGGAATGGCTGATTAGATACTGGCAGATAGTAGTGCTTGTGTGGGCATGATAACACATCCTGCCACATAAACAGTTCTTTTTCTTAAATCAGTGGCTGACCTTCATTCCCTCTGCTTTCCTCGGTCTTTTTGTGGCTCTCTAGGGTTTACTCCCACTTGTCTACCATACTATACAGGATATACTAGAATTAATGAATTCTACTTTCAGCAAAACAAAAGCTGTATTCCAATAATTGCATGTTGAAACTTAATGTTTTTTTTGTTGTTGTTGCATAAAACATGTTTGAAAGCCTAGTACCAATATGGTTGGCTACCAGGCTCTTCCATTGTGTCTGATATGCTAAGTTTTGCATCTAGCTAATGTCACTCTTTATTTCTCTTACAGTTACAGAGAAGGAGGTGCAGCAGTGGTAAGTGTGTGCATGCATTTTTAATGAGATTTTTTTTTTTTTCCTTTGTTCATGTGGGGCTAGTCAAATATTAGCATTTAGCAGCGTCTTCAGTGACAAAGCTCGCTGGAGTTAGACGCTCCTTTCAGGTTTACTCCTTCGCATTAATCTGACAGCATCTGAATGTGCTGGTTTCATGTTTTTTATATAAAAGATACGGTGTCATTTTTAACACACCACAAATCCAAACTGCATGCTGTATTAACAGATTGGCAGGCACAAAATTTTGACTCAAAGTGTCTCTTCATGAATTGCTTGGCTCACTGATAGCATGGTTGTCTTTGGAGAATGCCTTTAATTGCAATAATGTGAGAAATAATAGCATCTTGCTGGCTGTGTTTCTAATTTACAAAAGGCATTTACCTATGATGCACATCTGATTTAGACCATCCGGTGGAGATTGCACTCTCTATTTCTCTCAGCCTTTGTGCGAGGGGCAGTGACGTGCAGGATATACAAACGGAAAAATACACACTCGAGAAAGATATTTACAAATGCGGTCACACTCAATTAGAATCGATGTTGACAGCTGTTGTTGTCACGAGTGAAACAATTCTTTGGCACGTAAAGTGAAAGGTGTGCATCATGATCAGGTAAACACAGTGACTTTGACAGATTGATGAGGTCAGCATCGTTACATGTCCCAGGTCTCAAAAGGGTCAGGAAGTTTTACATTGACCCAGCTGGAAAAACCCCTTTTCGATGTATCCCTTCTCAGGATTTGTTTTCTTGAGTCAGCAAATAGTGTTGCTGGGTTTGGTTTGATAGTCGATTTGGAGCCATCTCCCTCACACTTCCCTGAAGACAGATGAGTTCTGAAAATAGAATGACTTTGAAGCCTAACTGAGACAGAATGACTTTGAAGGCTGATAATACTGATACAAACATTTCCATGATGCATTCCTCCACAACCTTTTTGCTCTATTTGTAAAAGGGATGTCTGATAACAGAGGAATGGCAGGGGTGCAAGGTTGTTTCACTTTTAGGCAGTCATGACTACTTGGCCACAAAACCTACACAAGGTTGCTCATTAGTAATCCTTCCTGTCAGATTCTGTTCCTATTAGTCACTGTGACCTGAGCCAAGATGGGCTCATGAAGGTCTAGCCTTTGTCTGATCCCCGTCTGTGTTAACAGCGTTAAAACATGCGCCTCAATGTGTCAAAGCGAAGCAAATTCATAAAACAAAGACAGTTTAAGCCAGGATATTGCATAAAAGTGGGCCCGGAGCAATCTGTTTTTATTGTTAAGGTGTGAATTTATGGATCTTTTTGTGAAGGGATAATTTGACAGCCGCTGGCAGATGGATAAGAAACAATGCTTTCTTCATTAGCGGAGATGATTCAAGCGTGAGCACAGTCATCTCTTTTGTTTGTCGGGTGGTGCTATTGGGCTATTATTTCTTTGAAAATCCAAATCAAAGTAGACCATAAATCAGAAGAAAGAGCTCCGTAATGAAGTGATGACTCTTCAATGTTCACATTTTAGTTCTCCTCCTTTTGGCGTTTGTATTTCATAACCTAATTCCACATGCGTGAAAAGAGCTTTGCCTTTAGAGCTAGTTTCTCTTCATGTTTCCTGTTGGGGAGTTTTTTTTGCAGGGGGAAAGCATTAGATATCACTGGACATTGGCAGGTCCAGAGCCTTCAAGCTGGCCTGTCTCTAGGGCTGCCTGAGTGCACTGGGGCGGAAACCCTCCCCTCTCCAAACCTCCACCCCGCCGGCTGTGCAGCCAGCTAGCTCGCCATCGCTCTCGCTGTCTTTCACAGGAAAGTTTGCACGAGCCCTCACTTGAAGATCAGTAGCAATCAACACGGCTGAGTGTGAGGGATGAGAGGGAATTTTACCAGGGGGAATGCCAGATGGCGTGTAATTAGAGCACAAGCACAGACACAGAAGAATTAGCAGGGTTAGATAAATGCCTGTGTTGTGCATTAAATTTATTCTCCTTTCTAATTCTCCTCTAAGGGAACATCATTAGTATGCCCGCGGCCTACCTGAAATCGATAACTAAATGCCATAGCTCAGTGATGTTCCCTGCCAGCTAGGCAGGAGCAAAAGAAACATCCTGCACAGTACCAAGCCACTGTGGTAGATGCCAAAGAACGCAACCAGTGCCAGAAAATAAATATCTTATCTTCATCCCAGCACCCGAGAGTAGTCTGATCCACAATGTCACATCCCCACAAGTACAGCGCGTAGTTGCACTATTACACCGCTTCAAGTACAGGCTGAACGTGTGTGTGTCTTAACACTAATGTCACCAAGTAGGATCTCTTGTACATGACGTGTTCTTGGCAAATGAAAGTGATTCGTATTATGAGCAGCTGACACTGCAAACATGTTTACACATTGGTGCAGTGCTTACTGTATCCACTGTATCTACAGTTTGAGTGTACAGTGCATATGTAAATTAGCTGTTGTATAGCTGATGTGTTTCCCAAACTTTGGGATGCTGTGCAAAATGTCAGTAAAGGTGCACTTCACTGTTTAAACCCTGCTTTTTATGGAAATTGTGCAAAGACAGCGTATCAAGTTGTTTTATGATGATTTTTTTTTTTTTAATTTGATGCTAGCAAAATGTTTAACAAAAAAAGGGGTAGGCTTAGTAGTCTGACTTATTCTTGCCGTTGTTCTTTTAATGTTACAGTTAAGTGGCTGTCTGGTTGATGCACAATTGATTGCACTTGAATTAAATAGTTAATTATTTAAATATTCAGCCATTAAAACTGAAACACTGTGGAGCTGTAATAATAATCATAAGATGAAATGCACTACTGCGTCATTAGAGTTATTGTATTTTATCATGTGTAAGAAATTATTTTATAATTGTTGGCCTGTTGCCATTAACTGCTTAAAGGTCACTGGATTAGTTTTGCATACAAGTATATTTAAAGGTCTAAGGAAATACTACTTTAGACACTGTAGTCAGGCGTTCTCACATTTTGAAACCTTGAAAATGTTGTAGATGTGCTAAATTACTGGAAGATGCTTTTCTAAGATGGTAATTCCTTATGAGTTGCAAAAAGGGGGAAATAAAATCCTTATTTACGCAGCACTGAGGTACTCAAGTGATTTTAGCATTGCATTAAAAAAACATTGAGTTCCTCTGAAAGAGGAAAAAATTTAAAAACTGTTCAAAATTAAAGCAGCTGAGTCCGCCCCATCCTTTTATCCATCTCCCATAATGCAACAGAAAATCACCTTTCATTAGACTGCACTTGCATCTTAAATGCTTTCTCCTCTTAAATGCCATACCTCCTGCTTGCAACACAGGCTTTTTGTTAAATTTTAAGGCTCGAGCTAAAGTCGAGAAAACCCAAACTACATCAACAGTCACTCAGGTTTTTTTTCTATTAAGTTCCTTTTAAACCACAGAAGATTTGCTTTCACAGACCGAGAAATGCTCCTGATGGGTGAACTGAGCCTTTGTGTGTAAAATTGTTGGGTTGCCCTTCTAAAAGCCTTCTTTTTGCCATGCATAATGGCTCAAAACGCAAAGCAACAAAGTGTCTGGACAACATAATTTTTGCCGATCTTCATCTCAGTGAATTCATTTATCCTCTGGACAGAGAAGGATATAAAACAACCTTTTTGCCACGATTCTCAACACATTTCCAAACTGTGATTTTTGCCATGCAGTGTCTACTTACTTATTAGAAAACAGATGCCAGCGCATCTTTAAGCGCATGCATCAATATGGGAGTGCTAATTTATTTTTGCTTATTTGCGACGAGCTAAAATTTGCTGATATTTGACCCTCCTGATCTGACATTATTAAAAAAAGAGCAAACTAGATATGATATTGACAGAATAAAAATATTTATTTTAGATGTGATTTGATGAATTCATATTTTCTCTCACTGTGGGTGTACCTATGATAGTCTTCAGTGCCTGAAAGCAGTAAACGGAGAATTTGAATGCAAATGTACTAGTTTTTGTACTTGTAATGTTCTGTGCTTGAACATGAGCACTGTATGTACAGTATGAGAGAGCACATTTCATTGTCTTCAGTCTTTTCTTTGATATTCCTCCGTCAAGCATTAAAAATGACAAAAGAATTCAGGTGAAATAGGTCGGCTGTGGATTACGATATGCGTTGTGCGTTCGGTTCTTTGAATACCAATTAGGTTATAGCCTGCATAGTTAAGCTAGGCTTTCTTTTTTTTCCCCCTGCATGTATCTCCAGATAATTCATATATGAGAATTTTGTGGTTCCGCTCTCTTCTCGCTTTTCTTCTCGCTGAACTTTTTCCCAGCTGCTCCTCAAAGCTCCTTGCCTATTTCTTTGACTGTAAGGAGCTGGCTTCATTATCTCCCGGGCAGATTAAAAGTAAAAGAGTTTAAGAGGAGTGAGGAGTCAGAGTGTGAGTGGAAAAGATCGCCCCTGGCCTTCATTCTTCATCAGAACGCGCTTTCTCTGGCCTTAATTATAGCCCAGTCTTATTACGAACAGCCAGAGCTTAAGCAGAGACGAACACGCAGTGCTCCCTTGTGTGAACTTGTGTCATTTTTGCTGTTGATTAAGAGGAAAAGCTTTTTGCAATGCTTTTTATAACTAGAGTGTTATTATTTCCCTGTCATGTCCTCCTCCTCCTACTATTCATCTAAGATTTATTTTTGTAAAGACTAAATCTCGCTTACTTGCTCCCTAACCTGTTCCTGTGTGGTTAGACTCTGTGGATGCAGACTTCCCTTATGAAGACATACAAGAACACTGCCTACCTTTGAGTGATTGCGCTTGAAATTGCTTATGAAATGCTTCTATATTTAGGCTAATAGAGATGTTAAGTCGCTCTCCAGATATGGTATTTCCAGAGGGCAAGAGGAAGCTCTCAGACTTATCTATCAGCCACGCATATTATCAAAAGAGGAGCAGAGAGTAATTTGATTAGAGTTAACCACCCTTGGCTTGCTATTGGATTAAGGCGATCGTCTTATCTGTGAATGAGACAAATAGCTTTGCACTTTACCTTTTTGATCTAGCGCACTCTTTCAGACTGAATCAGTAATGCCTATGGTAAGAGTGAGGAGGTGACTTCAGTCTACTGCTGCTGTCCGTTCTAGTCTTGATTATGAATTCTCGTTTCGTTTGGTTGCATTGCATAAGGCTGTATTACTTTTTAAAATCATCTCACAGTGCACTCTGTTTTTCTTTTTAGGTACAAAGGTTTCATCAAAGATTGCCCGAGTGGGCAGTTGGATGCTGTGGGTTTTCAGAAGATATACAAGCAGTTTTTCCCTTTTGGAGATCCCACAAAGTTTGCCTCCTTTGTCTTCAATGTGTTTGATGAAAATAAGGTTTGTAAACAAATTCATGTGTTTTATTAGCCTTTTAGGGAGCGTAGGGAAATATTAAAATACCCTTGCTAGTTCACAGTAATGTGATCATTTGGGGCTGGCATTGCCGTTAGATAAGAGGAGTCTGAGGAGAGGGCTAATCTGGAGGGTTTTGTTCAGATCATGTCAGTTTGTGAGAACAGCATCTCTTTCTTTGTGAACATCCAGGGACTACTGAGCAGAATAAAAGAGAAGCGTTGTAATCGTTTTCATTTTAATTATTATTCCAGTGCCATTATTGTTGTATTTTTCCCCCTTAGAGCTGTAGTCTCTCACATCCGTATACACACAGTTTTTGAATGAGAGCTGTTTGTTTTGGGCATTGTCATAAAAATTATAGGCAAAAATGTAATTATTTCCCCATAGGGACGTGTACATTACCTACAACTGAAGAGTCTAGCAGTGCCAGTGCAGATATTCTTTCTGTAATGCACACTGAGTGCTCACATTGTGTATTTCTGGCAACATTGGCACAAAAAGAACCTGGATATATTTTACACTTAAAGATATTATATTACACTAGGTACCCCTTCTTTTTGCTCAAAAAGGAGCAACGAGCTGCAGTGGAGTCTTCGTGTCTATAATAACCTATAATTGTAACCCAGAGTTACAATTCTCTTTATGGGGTGAGGGTTGGAGGATGTATTGGCAAAGCCAACAAGATAGATACATTTTTCTGAAGCAATCCACCTCACTGTAGCTGTACATGATCATTGTGATTGTGTTTGGGGACACAAACTGAAGAAGAGCAGCTCGCAGGAAGCTGCTGAGCCCCCCGGAGGTGTATTGACTTGAGTTAAGAGGCTTTGTGTCAGGAAGATCACACAATCCCCTTCATCTGATGTTTATCTGTGACCTTCATTAGCATTACGCACCCCGTAGTTAGAGAATGCGTTGATCGTAGCAGTTTTTGGGACTTGTGCGATCTGCAGTACATGACTTTAGCATTTTCTGTCTAGTCAGCTGTCTGGTAGAGATAGCATTAGCTGACCCTGAGTGGCACGAAAACACCAGGCTTTTTTCCCCTGCTTTAGAGAATACTGTGGCTAAACTCGCAGTGGGCAGCTGACTTAGCAGAATGTAGGAAGACGACAGACTCTGTCAGCTGCTTGAAACAGGAAGTCATAACATGATGGATTGGTTTGAATTAATGGCGTCTGAGAAACTTTGAGTTGTGTTTTCATGATTTAGAATCAAGCCAGTAGAAAACTCTTTGATGCACAAAGTGTGGATTTAAAAGTGTAATTCGTCTTATTTTTTTTGTGTGTGGGTTTTTTTTTTTTTGTCACATTTTAACAACACTTAGAGAAAACTACATTTCAAAGTGGAACAGTTCCTACCCCGTTGGACAGAATGATCACATTCGTGATGTGAAATGACTGGAAAATGCGAGGCGTCTTGTTTGCCTGCTTTAATTTTTAGACTTTGAGCCAGTAGCATTCTTCTTACTAATGACCAGAGGTGACATATTTCTACCTCCGGAGAGAGCCAGGTGCGAGGCAAAAAATAGCATCTGACTTGGAGCAAACGTCTGGCCCCATTTTCAGAAGAATCCAGCAAGGACATCATGAAAAGAACAGGACAGAGTTTGTGAAAGTACAGCCACTGCAAGTGTGAAGTGAGAGCCTCATCTTGTCTCTGGGCCATTTCTCTTCACTCTCTTTCTCTCCCCTCTCTCGGTCGCTCTGCAGGATGGACGCATCGAGTTCTCCGAGTTCATCCAGGCCTTGTCAGTGACTTCCCGGGGGACTCTAGATGAAAAGCTGCGATGTAAGAAGATGGAATCTCCTCTCTTGTTGTTAACATTTAAATGACAGGAGTACAGACTTCTAGAGAGAAAAATGGCAAATAAAACCTGGACTTACTTTTTAAACCTGTGACAAAGTGTGACGATATTTATCCTCCTTTTTCACCCACATGAAGCCCACATATTTTAACTTCTTGTCTTTGTACAGGGGCTTTTAAATTATATGATCTTGACAATGATGGCTACATAACCCGAGACGAGATGTTGAACATTGTAGATGCCATATATCAGATGGTGGTAAGTTTTCCCGAACATTAGAGATCTAATCCTGACTCGTTTTAATGCAAACACCATATGAAGCATTATGATGTTGCTGATGTCGTAGGGGAACACTGTGGAGTTGCCTGAGGAAGAAAACACACCAGAGAAGCGTGTGGACCGCATTTTTGCAATGATGGATAAGGTCAGTGTTTGAGTACTAGAGATGTAAATAGTGATAGAGCAATATCTGATATTCATTGAGACTGACATTGATATAGTCATGAGTTTAACTTTAATAGGGCTTTCGTCTACCTTTGTTGCCACCCTCGGGGCTTTGATATGGACGCTGTTAAGTTTAGAGCTGTTAGCTGTATTCATCACAGTGTCACTAACACCGCCTGCAGTCTATAAACATCATATATATATATTCTCCTCCACCTCTAGCCCTCAGTGCTGGTGCCCGCTCTGTCAGCTCCAAGAATCTACTCAGCTTTAGTGAAAGATGAGACGCAGCCTGCATGGGCGTGTTTGTCAGCTCACTACTGCCAAGATCAGCCCATAGGAGTAACTGTGCAGCACAGCAGCACTTAGTGATTTGTATTAGCTGAGAGTGGCAACTGTCCAAGTGCACTGAACCAAACATCAGTCCCAATAGCATAGAATAGGGGCAACATGACATGGCCTGAGATGCTTTTTTGCCCCCTGCTGGAAGGTGTGTGTAAAAGCATCACAGGGCTTCAGCTCGATATATTTTTCTGTTTTTGTGTCGTGTTGCAGAATGCAGACGGGAAGCTGACTCTGCAGGAGTTTCAGGAAGGATCAAAGGCAGATCCCTCTATTGTTCAGGCATTGTCACTCTATGATGGACTTGTGTAGGAATGTAAGGTGAGTGGGGTATTAATCAACTGCTACCTGCATACCTACCCGCATGGGTGATTTTTCAGTTCCCGGTCATGCTTCAGCCTCACAGTAATGCTGTGTAATTCCTATTTCTTCAGAGCAAAGAATACAGAAAGGAACTTCAGTCTGCGGGTTGAAACCAAAGTGAAGAAGCCACTTTCTGCTCTTGAGTTTGTTCTTATGAATTATTCATCTGGCTCATTTGTTTACTGGCAATCAAATATTCTTGCAGTTCTGAACGAAGAGCGAGACGGGGCCTCCTCTCACTGGCTAATGTAATGCACTGGCTGCTGCCAATTGTTGCTGACATCCTGCTCAGCGTTTTGTCAACTGTGAAGTGAGCTTGTGAAGACTTTTTTTTTTTTTTTGTAGTAACACAGCAGCTCTGTTAGTGATTACCCAGCATGCTCTGAACACAACCAGGTATCATAACTCAACTGCTCCATTCACATCCCTCTTGCACCTCAGATGGATCCCCCTCAGCTTCCCCCCACTGCCCGTTACACACCAGCACAGCACCATCAAACTAATAATGGGAGGAAGCCACATTTTAACTCGATCACCCAGAAGCAGATTGCAAACTTTTCTACTCCCAAGTATCTGCCCATCTGCGTTTCCAATAGCGGACTGTGAACAAATATATCGTCTGATGTGATAGCGAATCCAAACCTGTCTGCAAAACCCTCTGTCGTTTGTGCGTGCTTCTGCAGCTACGCCGCATCGCATCACACCCTTGAGTAACTGTGGACTTTGGAATATTGTGTAGTCCGAGGTACTGAATTCCTGTGGAGATGTTCGTGTGCATCTTATTCACATGCTGAAAAGCGGCAGATGCAAAGTGAACTGCTCACTCAGAGGAACTGTGCTGCTGCTTCATCACCACACAGAAAGACTCTAAACCACAGGAGAATCTGTCAGGGGGGAAGAAAGTGTTACTTTTGTGATAATGTGAACACTAACTTAAAGATACAAAGCAGTATAGTGTGTATTATATAATGTAAATATAATGGTAATTTATTTTCTGCTTTTTTTTTTTTTTGCTGCATTTATGGGAATTTCCTCATAAATATGGAATGAAGTTTTATTTTTAAATCAAAGGTTGTTGAAATGTATTGCACTGTATTTTTCATTATTGTTGCCCGATTCTCATTTTTGTCACGCCCCGAGGTTTCCTTTTCTCGAGAGAGCAGGGTTTTTGTTTTGTTTTTTCATGTGAGGAGGAATTTTGAAGTAGCACAGAGTTTTCTATGGATTATTTTGCTGTGTTTGCAGCCCGTGCATCCCATCGTGGTTCAGTCTCCCTGCTGTTGTTCGCGCTCCTGCAGAGATGCCCCCACCTCTCGAATGGCCCGGCCAAGCAGCCCAGCCCGGTTCTCACAGCAGCCGAATTGAAGTTCAGTATTTCTTTGGAGAGCACCCTCAGCAAGACAAAGCCTTGGTCACTGAGAGGCACAGACATCATTTCTGACTGTGAAGCTTTTGTGAGCTCTGTGGTTGCAGTTGTCTGCTTGGTATTTGTTCTGTGTGATACCTGCGCATGTATTGATGCCTTTTTTTTCCTCCATTGGATTGTTTTATTTTGAGCATTAAGATGTTTTTCAGCTTCACTGATTTTTATGCCTTATGCAAATTTACTAAATTCTAAATGTCATTTTCCTGTTGATTGACAGTATAAGAGCACAGAATAAAATGCATTTAAGTGGCTATCTTTTCTATTACTGTATCCTTAGTTTGTAATGGATAGAAAACTTTCATTTTTTTTTAAATATATACATATCTATATATTTAACAGCTTTTAATAACTTTAAGGGGCTGCTTTGTAGAATGACTGTTGCTCATGTGTTTATTTGTAATATTTTAAACTTTACAAATCTTAATCAACTCTCAAGAAGTAACTCAAGTTTGCACAGACCCTGATGCTTTGTGATTAAAATGTAATTTATTATCAGTCCAGTTTTGCACTGCTGTACCACTGTTAAGGGAAGGTGTCATGTCAAGCTTTAGTGCCTGTAATGCTTTATAACACAGAATCTAACATGCCAGCTTGCTCTGTGGTATAAGCCTGCACTGTGTAGTTATGTGATGAACAATGAAGTGCATAAAACTCTGACGTCTTGGCATTGATGGGTTTAATGGGTGGGGCTCGTGTCTTTTAAAGTTGCTGGGCTCTCCGGGCCTGCTCAGACCCGCTTTCTTTCTTCTCTTGTCTCTTATTCCCCCCCCTTTTCATGAAGGACAGATGCAGGTGTATTCAAGAGGAGGAAGGGTCTGGGGCCTTGACTTGAAACTCTTCCTTACGGGTTTTTTTTATTCAGCATAAGTTTCAAATGTAGCATGTGTAACTTAAGTGCAGTAAAACACGAGTGTGTTTTCATGTGAACAATCAGTTTCTTGACTTAAAAGAAATGTTCTGCTTTTATGCAGCTTACTTTGGAATTAGCTGACATATTTGCGTTTGTAAGATCTGGGGGTGGGTGGTGGCTTCCTCTGTGAGGTCTGATCACATTAAAAAAGATATATCATAGCTGGGCACCAAGTCCACGAGGATAACATTTTTAATGATCAATAACATTTCAGCCACATCAGCAGAAAAGAAAAGAAGCACAGTGACATTGCTCTTCATTCATATGTCAAGGAGATATTTGTCAGGGTGGGCTATGTATAAAATTAGGTTGTGTCAGCTGAATATAAACTATGGCTATTTATAAAAACCAGGCTGTTACTGAGACAATGTTCTCGACACGTCCAAAATACAGACGCCAGGCCCCGCTGGTAACACGGGGAAAGCTGTTAAAAAAGTGCGTCTCCAGGGGCCCACCGCCATTGTAGAGAAAAATAAACTGACGGGAAATGTTGAATAGGGTTAAAGAAGCCTGGAAGTCACAGTGGGGTCGAGTTACACACACACACACACACACACTTTCACACAAACACACGAAGGAAAGGAGAAAAAAACAGGTTGGGTCCCGGGAACTTTTTAATACCCATCTCCGCCCCCGTTTGAAGCGTCAGAGCACCAGCTCTCCTGGGGCTCTCCAACGCAGAGCCAGTCCACATGCTCCTCCAAACTTTACGCACGGATGTACTCCCGTGGAAGTATTCAGCACTGGATTTTGAAGTGTTTCAGCTGAGCCGCGTTGTTCTAAATCTACCAGAAGCAGTGCCAGAGTCATTTGAGCGGCTTCGAAATCAAAACTTTTTAAAACTTTGTGATACTGTTTTTTTTTTTTTAAATATATGACTCGCCTTATTCCAAAAGACAGATGCAGTAAATTTGGAAAATGGCCGGTGCCTTATTAAAGTGCTTAGTCTTGGCGCTCTCAGTATGCGCACACAGACTTTTGGCAGACCCCCGCGTTGAGACGGGTGATGAATCCGATGACAGCGCCTCGACCCTGGCCTTTGTGTTCGATGTTACCGGCTCCATGTACGACGATCTGAAACAGGTGATAGAGGGCGCCTCACGGATCCTGGAGAAGACGCTCAGCCGGAGGACCAGACCCATTAAAAACTTTGTCCTGGTCCCCTTCCACGACCCAGGTACTTTTTCTACCTTTAACAGAAGTTTGTTCTTGAACTAAAGAGCCACAACTTAAGAAACTTTTTTTTTTTCGTGAAAGTGGATGTATGGAATGCTTATATTTGTTAATTCATGAATATGATTATAATTTATCGGAGCATTGACTTCAAAGGAAAAGACTTTCTTGCATTACTACAAAGAGAGCGTGGTATTTTTATAGTTTCCGCGCCTTGCACTGATTTGCTATTTATATCTGCCATTTACACACTTATACTTGCAACGCATCTCAGAACGTGTAGGAGAGTGTGCTGCTGCATAGCGGCTTCAGTGGAAGCCCACTTGTAGAGAGAAGTGAAACTGATGCAAGACGTCAAGCAGGGGGGGATATGTGAGCTCACAGTGGGTGTTGGGGACAGGTAAGGCTCTTCATCCCAGCCCAGCATCTTCCTTTCTATACGGGAAAGCTGCAGTTTGAAAATAAGAGTGCTCCAATGGGGGGAGGGTGTTTGTGCGCTGATGGGAAGCATATGCTGTCTGCTTGTGTGTAATTACCCCAATCGCCACCCCACACTCACCCCACCCCACTCCTGTCTCTCCTCCCTCTTCTGCCTCGCAGCCCCCCCACTGGCCAGCCGGGGGGGAGTTGTGGGGGTTGCCTACCCTAACGCCACACATTTTGTCTGTGTTTAATGCGCCTATGCCCTTGGGGACCTTGTAAACTTCCAAGATCCCAGAGAAGCCCTCTGTGGCTGACGAAGAGGCGTGACAGCGCCGTCGGTGTTTCCTCTCAGGCACTCTTGAGAGGTCGACAAGCACTTGAAAGCAGCTGGAGAAAACACCGAGAATGAATTAGAAATGTCATGGCCCTGACACATGTCTGCAAACTCTGTATCATTAGTCTCACAAAGATACTTCAAAATTATATTTGACAGTTGGAATAAAGAGCAATGACACACCAAAATCACGAGGTATACAAGACTGGATGAGGGTCTTTTTCTGTGATAACTGTGATGAAGTGCTCGTGTTTATGGAGAGCAGCAACACAATGCGTTCCCTCTGCACTGGTTAATGTTTACTGTTCTGTAGTTTGGCCCCAGAAGACATCCAAATAAGTGTCAGGCCCTGACAGGCTTTTATCCATCATGCTTGGGGCTGGAAAATGATTATTCCGTCATCGTGCAAACTGTCGCCAGATTTTTAGTGATTTGTGTAAAACAAAATGTTACGCTGTAATTTTGTCAGCACGGCCTCTCTTGTGCCCTGTGATGTGTGATTGATATTCATGTGGTGCACAAAGGCTGTGGGGCATCATTCTGGCCTTGATAAAATGTGCTTTGGCTTAATAGGGTTTTTGATGCTGTGTGCTTTTCCTCTGCTCATAAGGACAAAGCTGCTAAGAGGAAACAAACAAACGCTCTGTCTTCTAAAAAATTCCAGACCATAGGCGTTTTGTGGTTGCAATGATTATCCTGTTCTGTATAGGCATACACTCTTCAGAAATCAGAACAGAACCGGCTGACTGGGTTTGATTTTCTTCACAGAAAGGGTTTTTTTCCTGATGTATATTTTTAATCTGACAGATATCGGCCCCGTGTCCATCACCACCGACCCAAAGAAGTTCCAGCGGGATCTGCAAGAGCTGTTTGTCCAGGTTCAGACACAGATTACATAAATTAATAATTTTGTACGAATGAAACCTTTAGATTATGGTGAACAGTATGTGGATTGCCAGCCCCTAAAACTGTAATCATGATAAGCAGCACATCGGTTGAATGTTAAGAACCCCAGATTGTACTGAATTGAACAGTTATTCAAATGTTTACTCATATAAGGCACATCGTTTATGGGACTGGTTCTTTCTTCTTTCAAAAGTAAATTATTGCTGCTTTCATGGGTAGTGATTTAAATGTATTTAAGAAACATTTGATGTGTCTCTCCATAAAATGGATGTGTTCAACAACACGATATCTGAATAAACATTTAAAAAAATATAAATATATGATTTTTTTTCTGGAGTTTTTAAGCAAATGTGATTCTATCACACAGGGTGGAGGCGACTGCCCTGAAATGAGTATCGGAGCCATAAAGAAAGCACTGGAGGTTTCCCTGCCTGGATCCTTTATCTATGTGTTTACTGATGCCAGGGCCAAAGACTACCGTCTGAAGAGAGATGTTCTGCAACTGGTGCAACTCCGTCAGTCACAGGTACAAGGCAGGAAATTTAAACAGGCCTCTTATACATCAGGACAAAACTGATACATACTTAATCAGTCCAATGTGTGCTCTTTATTCAATGTCAAACATCCGATAGATGCAGGCTCCTCTTTGATCAAATCTATGGTATGTAAACTGATTAAAAGAAAATAAAAACATGCCCACAAGCATCTCATTTGTATTCACTGGTGCTGAATACTCCCATAATGATCAAGATGCCATTTAACTGATGTTATCTGGAACACTGTTGAGCCTACAAACACGAGCCCCATCCCACACTGTCTTTAGAGTCTCTGCATTTATTGCACGCTGTCACAAAAGGGATACAACAGCAATGCTGTAAAAAAAAAAAACCACATCTGCATTCCAAAGAAGTTCCCGGGATCAGCTGAGTGCAGGAAAGTTGGTCTCAGCCCCTACATGATGCATGACAATGAGCATTTGGAGCAAAGTGAAAGCGACTCAGCAGAAAGCAAACACTCAACAAATGTAATCCTCTTAACTCCTCTGTCCTCTTCGTTCCCAGGTAGTATTTGTGTTGACCGGGGACTGTGGAGACCGCTCTCAGCCTGGTTACAGGGCGTACGAGGAGATCGCCGCTACCTCCTCTGGGCAAATCTTTCACTTGGATAAGCAGCAGGTCAACGAGGTGAGAGCAAGGCAGAGTAAACGTGCGCTCTGACGACTGGCCACCGAACCCCCATTAAGCCCTCACACATAATGAATTAGCCCCTAAATTGGAACTCTCTAGTGTATTTGAATATGAAAGGGGTGATATTTTCTAATAACAGAGGAGAGCAGGAGCAGAACAACATCAATTCCCATTTGACCCACCGATAATAGATGATAATGAGGAATTCATTTAGCCTAATCAAATGATTCCAGTGCTGATATTAAACTTCCTGGTCATACGATACGGGCCGGTGGTTCCTTTATATCGGAAGCAGCATGTAACAGGAGCCGAGTCTCAGAAGCCAAAGACAGCGGGGCTCACTTCCCAAGCAGACGTAAAAGAAGCCAGAGTTTCCTCTGGAAGAGACACTGGTATCCTACATGTCAACACAGGAGATGGCTGGGCAGCGCTGAGCTGGAGCCAACAGCTCTGCACACTGGTGGCCCACTGAACCTCTGAACTCAGATGTGTTTGTGTGGGTATTTGTGTGTGTGTGTGTGTGTGTGGGGGGGGTCTGTTTCCTGTCAAGTCATGCTTGCATATAGCTAGACATACAATGCCTGTGTGTGTGTGTGTGGCAGCTCGTTTCATTATCACTCCATAATCCTACCAGCTGTTTAAAGAGTGCTTAAAAGTCATTTTAGTGTTGTTGTATTAAGGGAACAGGGGACCAAATGTAGTCTAGACCTTATACCTCAACACCAGATGGCTGTGTGCTAATGTAGCCCTATTATTTTGAACATAGTCTTTGTGTACATTTTCATATAAACAGGCTTTTTTTTTTCCTTCTTGGATTTACGCTGAGTGTCTGTCAGTCGCTTCTCTTTTTTTAACCTGTAGGATTTTCTTTTTAGCTCCTGGGTGGCATGCTTTTACCAAATTAATGCAAATCCTTTAATCCCTTAAAAATCCTCAGAAGTAGTACAAATCTAACCAAAATATTCGCCATTAATAGCAGTTTAATAATGTGCAGCCAAATGAAATATACAGTGTCTTTTTGTGGTCTCCAGGGGGGCCAGCGCAGAGAAAACAGACTGCTTATTTTACTCTCTAATCCCAGGATGTGATCTTTCATGGTTTCGCTTCTTCCAACACAGCTGCCCAGTGGAATTGGCTCCAGGTCCTCGCACAACAGTTTATTGTCAGCTCTGTGTAACGCGCTCTTTACGCGGTTTAAATTTTGATTGGTTGTGATCAGTGAGTGAAAATGGTAACACGGAGCACAGCCAATGAGAACCGCTGTTGAACATTTTAAAATATCTGCGTTCTTCCTGTTGATGCTGCCCTAAAGTGCTGAAGAACAATGAGGAATGTGATGTTTTACTGGGTGATGTGATGTTCGCTCAAAGAAAGACCTGAGATTTATTAGTTTTGTGTTTCTAGTTGGTGCATACATGGATAACTCGAGCACCTTGATGAGTTGTTTATAAGATTAGCCTCGGGGTCTTTTCTGATTATGGGTGCTGCAGCGAGTTAAGGGAAATGGCAATGGTAATGGTTGCCAGGCATAAAATCTAGGTAACTTTTACCCACAGTCCGGCTAAACAAAAGCACTGCTTATCCTGTAGCTGAGCCTCTCTATGTGGAAACTCCCACTCAGAAGGAGCAGGGGATCTGTCTGGGTCTCGTTTACTTTAATAACCTTGATTTGGAGCGGGCCATCTTCATGCAAATATTCGGTAAATGCTGTGTTTATACTGGAGTAAAGACAGAGCTGACCTCTAGCCCGCTGGGAGGTCTGGAGGCAAGCTGTTCTACCTTACAGTGGCGCGGTCACGCACTTTCTTCTTCAGGTAATGTACCTGAATCGATGTGGGGAATACACCATCACCCCAGCTTTAGGTAACACTTCTTCTCTGCCCCATCTGTCATGCTTCTATGAATAGCAGCAGGGGGTCTTTCCTGTTACAGCCCTGTAAGCCTGATCATCTGAGACACGCTGGATGAGGTTTCACGGGGACTTAAGGTCCTTTGCATTCCCAGTGGTAGAGCCAGTGAGAGGCAACGGCGCTCGGCTCTTCTAGACCCTGCAGGCCAGCCCAGACAGGGAACTGGCCCCACCTCTGGGCTCTTCTTCTCTTTCATCTGAGGTCCGAGGGCAGAGAAATGCCCACTCCTCTTTGCTCTACCGCATAAGACACAGACATAGATGTGGGTCACTTCTAAGCAGTTTCCTGCTCTGACTGTGATGACTGCACACGTGGCAGACATTACAGCTGTTTCCAGTTGTAAAGTGGCAAGAGGAACCAGCTGCTGTTAGGACCTTGCAGACCTGATAGAGGAGAAGTCGAGGGCTGATAATTAAATTATCAAAGGCTTTCCCTGTTTCATTTTTACGTCTGTGTCGTAAAACGTGTTGGTGTTGGCCTCATCTCTGAAGGGCCTGCCGAGGAAATGTTTTCATTTGGCTTCGTTACAGGCACAGTTAAACCGTGATGCCTCTCAATACGAGGTGAAAACAAATATTATTCAGCAGCTGCTTGTTAAGCGTTTGGAAGATGGGCGACATTTAGTTTGCTGTGACCGCTGAAATGGTACTCTGTGAAAAGTCAGTGGGCTTTTGCTGTGCTTCTGTTTTGATTTGAGTGAAAACAAAAGAGAAACTGCATTTTTAATCAGTACCTCGCTGATGATTACACCCAGAGGGTCAAGCACCTGTCAAAGCTGAAATCCTGTAACATCACAGATTCCTGTGGAGAGCTGCTGAGGGAAATTAAAGTCTAAGTAATGACTGTTTTTACCATTATGTACAATCAGCTTGTTCAACCTCTCTGTAATCTTTGCTGTGGTGGAATGACTAAGAAGAGAGTCACTGTCTGACCTCATCAGACTTCTTCAGCTTAAACCTTTCAGCAGAAAAGTGTGAAATGCCTGCCTCATTCAGTTTAATGCTTTAGTTTAATTCAAAACCACGGCCGTTCCCACAACCCGATCCACCGCTTCCGCTTTGTCTTCCGAGGAACAAGCTTTATGATTAATAAAACCTGCGCCGCTGCAGCGGGACTGCTGCCTGACAGGCTTCCACTGTGAGAGACACTTTTTCTGGGAATACGTGCTTGAGAGTGCAGAAAACTGTATGTTATCAGTTTGACTGCTGAGCTGCTTCACTTTTCCTTTGTTTAGGCAAAATCCGTCTCATGAATAGTTTTGTGATGAAAGAATAGTCCGAAAGACGAAGAACAGGGAAAAGCAAGGGCTTTGTGGGGGCTTTCGGAGTTAAGGCCAGTGCGTCCTTCCTGTCCCACTCCTGCCTTTTGAAGTTTACCTCTCTGACAGTTTGATTAATGCACTCAGGAATATCTTGCTTGGTTGTGCTCCTGCAAATGCTGTGTTTTGCCTCCTGCCAGGTTTTAAAGTGGGTAGAGGAAACAGTTCAGGCCATGAAGGTCCACCTTCTGTCCTCCAATCATGACAGTGCCCAGGAAAACAACTGGGAAGTTCCCTTTGACCCGAGCCTCAGAGAGGTCACGGTGTCACTCAGTGGACCAGCACCAGAAATCGAGCTCAGCGATCCTTTGGGTAGAAAACTCATTCCTGCTTTTCCTATTTATTCTTATCTTCTCCTAGCATTATCAGTGCTTTTAAAGAAAGTCATGTTTTTCTTTGAAATAACATCTGTTATGTTTCCTTTTCCAAGGTCGGGTAGTTGGTGTAGAGCAGGGCCTTAAAGAACTCTTGAATATTCCCAACTCAGCTCGTGTGATAAACCTCAAGTTTCCTAGACCCGGTGCCTGGAAACTGAAGGTATTTATTTTGGTGAATAAATCACAAATGTGTTTTGTCTGACTTTTTTATGATGCTGAATTCACTTCACACGTTTCACTCTAAAGATAAGCTGTAGTGGGCGTCACACTCTGAGGGTCACAGGAGTCAGCAGTCTCGACTTCCGCGCAGGCTTCTCCAGCGTACCTGTTACAGAGTTCAACCACACGAGAGAGAGGCCGATAAAAGGTGTCTGGCATGTGTCTGTTAGCTCTTTGCCTTTTATTTGATCAAGACCATGTGCAGAAAATTACCTCATGCCGATCTTCCTTTGTCCTTCAGGGCTCCCATCCCATGTTTTACTGAAATGCACCGGCCTGAAGCCTCCAGGTCATCTGAGCCATGTGGAGCTTGTGTCAGGCTCAGGCCGCTCCTTGCGAACGATCCCTGTACCGCTGCCCTTTGACCTTGGAAAACAAGGCCTGTGGAGTCTCCCGGAATTCCGCACCCCTTCCCAGAGCTTCTTCATCAAGGTAACGGGCAAAGACGAAGAGGGCTACCGCTTCCAGAGGCTGTCCAGCGTCTCCTACACCAACATCATTCCAGGCAAGGCATCCCTCTTCACCAAAGCCACACTGCAGTGTCTCCCATACCTCATCAATCTCTTTATAGCCTTTAACCTCTGTTTCCTCCCTTGTGCAGATCCTCCAGCTGTGAGCATGCCGACTGTAGTGAAGGGCGTTTATATGCAGCCAGTTGTGATTGGCTGCTCTGTAAAGAGTGACATTCCCTACAGACTAAGATTCACCAGAAGTGGAATTACACTGGGAAGCGAGAGGTTCTTTCAGTGAGTCTCTTCTCTATTTGCTCAGCACTCCATAACATTTGGCTCGCCTTCCTTCCGATTCCCTCAGATCCCCGAAGCTTCGCGCGCCTATTACCTCATTTAAAAGCATTAATTAAGTCACTCCCTAATCTTACCAGTGGGCACGCCTGTAAAGCATTAGTGCTGCCTCACTCTTGCATTTTATTGGTTCATCTTTCAACAAGTGGATATATACACAGTTGATTTTATAAACATCACATACTCAATTTAACAAAGCAACTATTTTGTCTTGGTGTTGACTCTCTGGCTTGAATTACATTACTCATGAAGTGCAGCTGACTTTTGATGAAAATTATTTCCAGTGCGTGGATGTGCCAAAGAGCCACTGGGTGTGACATGAAATAAGAGGAATATGTGCTGGCCAATAAACCAAACGTGTCTTTGCTTCAGGTATTCTGCCGTTGCATCATGGGAAATTCCGAAGGCATCAGCCGAGGACGAAGGCCCGTATGAGTGTATGGCGCAGAGCAGCGCAGGGCAGGGGTGGGCTGTAGCACAATTAACTGTGAGAGGTATGTCACACAACAACAATGCAAGCGCACACTCCCCTTCAGTTGGACGTGGGTGCGTTCCAGCCATTTATATACAAACCTCTGCTTTATCGTTTAGACATAAACTAGATAGAAAGCACGTCTGCACAAATATTTGTTTTAAACATTGTCTGCACTCATGTTTCCACTAAAACAGATCCTCCTCCGGTCTTGAAGCCCCCGGTGAATGTGACATCTTCTGTGGGAGGCGTGGCTGTGCTGTCCTGTCAGGTGGAGGGAAACATGCGCCACAATTTGACCTGGCACCGAGGGGGCTATGCTATCCGGGCACGGGCAGGGAGGGTGAAGCTGCTGCCCAACTCTTACCTGCAGATCAGCGAGGTGCGGGCTCAGGATGCTGGGGAGTACCGCTGCGTGGCAACCAATGCCTACGGAGACAGCAGAATCGCCGTGTGGCTCCACGTCCCAGGTATGATAGCCCAATACCCTGCGGCTCATCTGCTTAAACATTTAACGCGGTAGGGCTTAACGGATCCTCGCGGGCCCCCGTCATCTGTTTTCCATTATTGCCTCGACCTCCTTGCAATCAGATTAAACCACTTCCTTTTCTCATCAGCAAAGACTTATGCGTGTTGAAAAGTGTGGCTTCTACTGAGGGAATGCACTCAGATTTCAACAAACAGGCAAATAAATATGTCTTCAAGAATATCCTGTAGTTATGAAGTCAGACATGGAGTGTTTTTGTAATTGCTTTGCAGCCCACAGCATCAAGTTTGCTCTTGTTAAGCTTGTGATAGCTATAAATGACATCATGCAGCCTGTGACAAGGCCCTGAGTCATCGTCTGCTTTTTATTTATTTTTTTTAATTTTTTGCCTTCCTTTGATTTCAACTGCAGAGGCTCCTTCTGTGGTAGTGCACCCGCAGTCCCTGGCTTTCTCCCAAGGCGATGAGATCCGCCTGGTCTGCTCGGCGTCCGGCTCCCCCCCTCCCCGGCTCTTCTGGAGCCAAGGCAACGTGTTCCTAACTAATCGGCCGAGGTAAGAGGGGAACTCTCAGCCCACCTCTGGCACAAAGGACTCAGAGAGTCATTACGTTCCACTTGACCTACATGCGCCATCGCCTCATCTTGTTTGCATCGCTTTGGAAATTTACATCTACTCGTGTCAAAACGTCTTTTTTTTTCCAAACCGCAAGTATTTTATATGTCAGCAGTGAAATATACATTCGCACACACACAAATTTCTCCCGTGACACCAAACAGCAGCATAAAGATTCAGAGAGATGGATCTCTGTTTTACATCTGCGCTTGTAATCAACAAAAGTATCAACAAACATGAATCCTGTCCACTGTACGCTACAGGTTCAGTCTGAACCAGCATGGAGTCCTAACCATTAAAGGGGCCCTCCCAGAGGATGCTGGGAACTACACATGCCTGGCAAGCAACGAGGCTGGGACTGCCTCTCAGTCTGTGTCACTTAGTTATGCGGGTAAGTCAACACATCCCGACAGATGTCTGGTTGAGGATGCCAGCGCGAAGATATATTGTTGCTGGAATTAGCCTTTCGTCATTCGGAGTTGTTAAAGTTTCTGTTCTGAATAATTGCTTCTCTTCTGACTTCATTTTTAACTTCCAGTGACACGAAGCATTTTTGCCCGTGTTGACTGTTTTTAAGGCGCATTTCTTTTAATGATATACAGCAGGATAGAGCAGAGTATACAGCAAGCGAACGTGGCCGCATACAGCTCTGTCTCACACGACGTGATGTTTCTCTCCTTGTTTGGTGAGCGCTGACAGTTGTGGGCCTGAAGTTTCACTCACGGCTGTCAGTTAGTGCTTGACAGAAACCGTAACACTGATGGATTATGGCAGCATTTTCCTGGGGCTTGCTGGTATTATACGCACTTGTCTCTGAATGTCATTTTTAACAACACTGATCTATCAAATCAGGGAAAACCTTATAACACAGTAGATCATCTCATCCTTTCAGCTCAGCTGCCTGGGTCTAAAGTATAAGCATCATTTTTAGATTCACATCAGGGTTTTTCTCATGCCCTTGCTGGTATAAACAAACAGCACATTACTGTTTACGTACAGTAGCGCTGCATGAAAGACCGGTTCATTGCTATAAACTAAAAACAGGGGGGCCTAACGTAAGGCCCGGGGGGCAGAATTGGCCCAGCAAAAACTCCAATCCGGCCCACTAGATGTCTTTAGAAAATGTGAAGGAGAGCATAATTTTTGGACTTTAAACTGTAAGCTTGTCCTACTGATAGACCTCCCCAACAGCCATTCATACTAAACCAAAGTAATGCAGAAATAGAAATTGCAATTAAACAATTAAATAAATAAATGCATAAAATAGAACAACAAAAATGCCCCACTTTAAAACTACAGGAGAATCTGGCCCACGAACTATCAGTACTTCTGTAACTTTACACATTTATTTGTTACAGTTTAAGTCCACAGAGCCGTGCTGACAGATTTCTTTATTTTACTATAGCAGCGTTTCTTTATCATGTGGAAAAACTGAGACGCACCTTTGAAATTCCACTTCTTTTTCTTACATTGAGACATCGCAGGGATTAAATGTGCAGTTAAACTCCTTTGCACTGATAGAAAGGGGATTTTCACTGGTCCGTTTAAAATCAAAGTCCCGAGGCCTATTATGTAAAATTAGTTGGACATCCCTGGAATAAAAAGTTCATCCCACTGATTTTTTTGTTCTGCAGAGGCACCAAGAATAACAGTGGTACAGCAGGTTGTGCTAGTGACTGTTGGTGGTGATGCAACTCTCGAGTGTCAGGCCACAGGCTTTCCGTCCCCTCTTGTCCACTGGTTCAAAGGTGAGTTAACGCCATACACAGTGCTTTTATTAAAAGGACTGTGGAGATGTCTCTGTTAGAGGACGACACGCTTATATTGCTCGTACTTCCAGGTGAGCTCGAGGTGGGCTCTGCCCCTTTTGTTGAGCAGGACGTACATCGCGGGACGCTGCACATTCGTGGCGTGCAGGAGGTCGACGCTGGTCAGTACAGCTGTGTGGCGAGCAGCTCTGCTGGAACCTCCTCTGGCACTGTTAGTCTGGTGGTTGGAGGTGAGGCCACACTACAGTTTTCCACATAAAACTTGTATTTCTCTCACATTTATACAAAGGAAAAAACATCCATCTGGCACCACTCTTCCTTCCACAGCGGGTCCATTGTTTTCCGAGGCACCGGCTGACGTGACAGCCAATGTCGGGGAGAATATCACCCTCCCCTGCACTGCCCGGGGATTCCCGCAGCCGACGGTGACCTGGCGCAGACAGGATGGCAGACAGATTCTCATGCGTTCAGACAGCCACAGTAAAACAATGCAGCTGGAGAACGGACATCTTCTAATCCAGAGTGAGTTATCACAGCAAAGAGCTTTTGTGTGCTGTGCGGCAGCCTCACGGTTTCCCTGCTTGAACTGGCTTGACTCAAATTGTGCAAGTATATATAGAAGAGTATCATATTAAATCCAGCTAACATTTTCTTAAGAGGCGGGAGAGACGGGATGTCATTGCCATTGGTAAAGTTACAGTAAACCGATGCCTCTCGAATATCCATCCTGCTAAAAGCATTATCTCTGCTCTGTGAAAAGACTCTCCTTAAAATGCTGTTAATTATTTGGCAAGAGAAGGCGTCTGTCTTTGTCCTCATCAGGGCAGGGGGATCAAAGCTGTGAACTCTGGAAGATATTCCAGCCTGAAACATGACTATTCTTAGCCACATACCGTGATGCTTTGTGCTCCTGAGACTAAATGTTTATAGTGTGAAATATAATATTGGACAGGAACAGACATATTTACATGGGCCGTTTCTGTCACTGTTTCCATTTGCGGCTGCCCTCTGACCTGATTGGCTCCATCTGCTACAGATGGCTTTATTTTATTTTTTTTACCTGCAGTTTCAGAAATGTCTCTGTTCATATTGCGTAGTGCTCAAACGCCACTATCTCCTTGAATCGTGCTCCTCACGGGTTACCTTTAATGCTTTATCCTGGCATCCTTCAATATTTGCAAGAACAGAAGAATTGAAACATATGTTGATCTTCCAAGATGTGATCTCAAGAGAATTTACTGAGTGGGACAGCAGGATAGCAGCTGAGCCAAACCCATTAATCCTGTTATTTTCTATTTTTAGCTCCTAATTGCAGCACTGTCAGGCCAATAATACCAGTTGTTACTGAGTAGGGGTCTTAGCTGCTATTAGCATGAACTTATTTTGTTTTTTTAGATAGACTGTTTTCTTTCTTGGTAAGTGTGATGATGCTGCTACTCTCAGATGTATTGTAATGTGCAGCGGTGTGCATTTTTCAATTATGTGTGTTTGACTGTAGGTGTCTGGCTGGATGATGAAGGTCTATACATCTGCGAGGCCAAGAACCAGTTTGGAACCATCAAATCTGAGGCCAGAGTTAGTGTCACTGGACTGGGTAGGCTCTTTTTGTGATCATATATATGCATGTAGCAGAAACACACGTTAGGACACTGTGGCTTTAAGACATATATTCCTGCTCTTGTTGTTTAGTAATCATTTCAAATCCTTTTTCTTGCAGAGCCACCTCTATTGGCCCAAGTTGCCCCAGTGATCACCACCGGGAGCGGTCAGTCACTTAGTATTCCTTGCATGTTGTTGGATGGAATTCCTCTTCCAGAAAGACACTGGTCCAAGAATGGAAAACCTGTAAGGCTGGTAAAAACATCAAACTCAAACCTGCCTCTCCCATGGATCATATCTGTGTTTGTGTATGACAGGGATATTTTTACTTTTTTCGTTTGCACAGTTCCATCTGAACAGAAGGATGTTCTTGAGGAGCGATGGCAGTTTGTACATCGAAAGAGCCATCCCAGAGGACACTGGGATTTATGTGTGCGCTGCGGTTAATGTGGCAGGTTCCGCGAACATCACAGTCAGCCTGGAGGTTCACGGTAGGAGCGTAAAGGAATAGTAACACTCACATTACCAATAAAATCAAAGCCAGCAAACAATAAGCACAAGCAGCTAAGACAGGCTTATAGTCTTGGAGATACTCCAGAAAGTAACTGACTCAAATTATTGTAGTAAATGACCCGCTGAAAAATCCCAAATTTGTGTGTGTAATTTACATTTTTGGCACAGCCAGGTTAGTTGTTTCCCACTTTCTTCAAGTCTTTATACTAAGCTTCCATAATCCAAGCTAAACTAAACTTACATCTCCTACATCTGGTTCTATCGTCATATTTAATGTGCACTAATAAAATATCAGCAAGAAAATATATGAACCTAATCTAAAAGCAGACCCTTTCGCTCACTGAATACACTTTCTCAGTGCAAAGTTTGCAACCACAGGCCATATAATTGGACAATTAAGCCAAAAATGTGCCAACTCAGCATGGAAAACAATTTTTGAATGAATCGACCACCTGTTGTCATCACAGAGAGAGGGCCTGCTTTATTGCATGCTTTGATAAATGGGGTCATGAGCATGTAATGACAGACAGCCAGGATCACGGTTCATCATCAGTTTGTAATGAAGAAATGCCTCAAACGCCGATGCTGCTGGTCAGCTGAGGCCGGTGGTAATGCAGCAGCAGATCGCTTCTTCACGCTCAGTCAGACAGCTGTGTTTTATGACCTTATTCTTCCACAGTGCCCCCAGAGATCAGCGCTGGTCCGTACCACTACATAGCCAACGAGGGTGTAGCCATCAGGCTATCATGCGAAGCCACCGGCGTTCCCAAACCAGATGTTGTCTGGTCCAAGGTAACACTCGCAACCTTCGGCTTCAGCTCAGTAAATCAAGCGTGACTAACTGGCTCGTTCTTCCACAGCACCGTCTAGTCCAAGGTCAACCCTTTGTATCAGTCCAGCTTACAATGAGTCATTATTAGCACTTTGGAAATAATTATCACAATCAGGCAGCAGCAAAAATCAATACCCAGCGGTGATGGGATCTAGATTATCCTTAAGAGTGCAATCTTGGACCGTGCCAGTCAATACAAGCATAACGATATTAATAAAACCAGAATCAAATCAGTGTGAAATGACTGATAATGAAAAAGGTTTTTAATTCTGAATTCATTTTGAGGCTCACTGAGTTACTCGGGATATTTTTTTTTATTTTACACAAACATCTGTAGCACTTCAAATCGCCTTCACTTACTGTGATTACATTTACATAAATACAATTATATTTTTTTTTATCTTATTCAAACAGTTTTCTTTTTTTCCCCTCCTGGCCTTTTCTTTGATTTGTCAGAACACAAAAAAAAACAGAACAAAACATAACACCACCAACAAAAACAGTTTCCACTGCAATCAAGACTTGATTAACCTGACCAGGGAGGGAAGTAACCATGGCAACTTTACTATATTGCTGCTTGACTGGTGCAAATCACTCTGTTTTTATTGTACCTTAGGAATCTATTTCAAGACTTTCCCGCATCCCCTCCTAGTACAACACTTCATCATATCACGAGAAGAAAACACAAAAGTTTATGTGCAACCAGGCGGTGCTAAGCCGACGCTCTCGATCCATCCAGGATGCAAAAACAGATCTTATTACAGCTTGTGCGGTACTGCAGCGTTGCCTTTGACAGCCGCTGCAATATATCTGATTAATAATTTGTAATGTTGCTAAAGCTGTGAGATAAATATTGCCTGGTAAAAAGTGTACATTTATCTTTGACGTGTAGTGAAGCAGAAGCGGCAGTTTGTATACTGTTAATGCATCTGTTTCTCTTCCACCACTGAAATTACTAACTGCAGTGATATCATCTTTTCTTTAAAGGCAACAAAAGCATGGCCGATGAAATACCCTGCCACTATTACATACCCTGTACTACTACTACCCTGTACGAGGTCAGCATGCTGTTGTTGTCTACATGTTGCTGAACTGAGCCGGATTTATATTCCACCCGGCCTTTCCCCTAACATTTTCAAAATGTTACTCTAGAGTCAAGTAAATTTACCTTGTTGTCAGATAAAAGTGTATCTGTTAAAGCGCTTTAATGTTCAGAGCGAGTGGATGCGCAGCGGCCCGGTTCTTGTGTGTGCACGCTGCAGATAGAGAGCAATCCAAAGGGGCGGCCAGTAATTCCATTAGACATCAAAGGTTGGGTTGTAAACCTTGAACTAATCTTAGTATCCATGCGCACGCTTGTGTGGAGGACTTTTCTAATATAATATGTTCTGTCTGATCTTATTCTGCCAGGGGAGGCAGCCCCTGCCCAAGGACAGCTCCGCTCTTCAGTCTGACTCTGAGGGACACCTCCACATCCCCAACCCCTCCGCCGAAGATGCAGGCATCTACATCTGCACTGCCACCAGTCCTGTGGGCTATGCTAGTCGCGAGATCCAGCTGAGTGTCAATAGTAAGGCGAACGGAGGCAAACAGTTTGCGTTTGGAATTGTAAAGGAAGTGCCTGTGTGGTCGTCTAACAAGTTCTTTTGTTGTGTTCAAGCTGTGCCAAAGATAATGGGCGTGACTGGTCACGACAACACAGTAAACATGGCTGCAGAGGTGGGGGCAGAGGTTGTTCTCCCGTGTGAGGCTGAAGGGAGTCCTTCCCCGTTAGTCACGTGGAGCCGAAACGGGCATCCCATCCCCCCCGTCACAGCTGGGTAAGAGGAAGCCTTACCTCACCCCGACAATCATGCAGTTAAATGTCTCAAATATAAGCTGACATAATCCAAAAGCACTAACCATACTTTACCTCTGACTTAACTTACACCTGAGTCAGCTTTTACAAAGAGCTCTGGCTGTTGTTCAAAGCTTCTGCTAACATGTCGTAATGCCTCTGGAAGAGCGGGCAGGCAGAGGCAGCAGAGACTAGAGAGCTGTGTGCGGGCATCACCAGTTGGCTAAACCGAGGTAGAACATCTGGTCCCACGTGGTTGCCTGATTCCTGGCTTTCATGTGTGGTCACTCTGGGCGCAGACAGGCAGGCAGGCTGCCCCGAGACACGAGCTGGATGGATGACAGGCAGACTCTTTGGGCCAGACACCAGGCCGAATCATTTAGTGCAGATAGAAGAATGACAGAGGGAGAGTTGAAAGCCGTTGTGACTCAGATACAGTATGACTTGTGTGGGGTCAGGAAGAAGGAAACGGTGGGGGGTGGCGTTGGAGGGAGGAAGAGGGGCGGAAAGTGAACTGACAGTGGAAGAGATACAGGTTGTGTCTGTCTGATGTTCAGATTCCCCGCGGTGTTTCGGCAGTAAAACAACATGCTGACTCTTTACTAGTCCTGTCTGATGAGAATAACACATCCCTGTGAACAAACCCAGCGTCATGCTTTGCATACGCAGGGACCTATGAAAGGAGCGGGCTCTGTAAAGGAACATTAACTCCTTTAAGCTACACTCTGAGGTTCGGAGGAAATAACCGAGGGGTGCTGATTTTTAAAATAACTTAAACAGTGGGAGATGATATTTATCTCATATCCATGTATTTAGACTAGTACCAGGCAGGGAGTTTTCTGTTTTTCTCTTTCCTTTTTTCAATACTGAGTCAGAAGATTTGGTCACAGGAGACCTGATCCTGATGAGGCCAATTTGTCCCAGTTAGTCTTTGGCCAGTCGCACTGTGTACACAGATGACACCAATGTGGGGAGTGATGGATGAGCGCGAGGGGCGGTTCATGTCACGCGGAGCAGCACCGCTGTAGCCTGAGCTCAGATTAACCACTGCAGAGGATGCCTTTCGGTTTTCGAGCTGGATGCTGTCGTCTCTCCTACGGCTGTTTGGGGAGGTGGGGGGTGGGTGAAAGACATTACACCATATGTGCGTCTAAAATACAGAGCTCTTTGTGCTTCTAGCCCGTTTCCACTTAGACAGGCGTGTTATTGTTAGAATTTGGTTGCTTAGCAGACACACTTATCAAAGATAAATCGCAGAGGTGTGTTTACATTGCTGTATGTTATACATTTGCACAGCTGGATAGCTTCTGTAGCATTTCAGGTTACCACACCCTCCTTTAGAGTTGCTGACCCACATTTAACTCCTTTAACCTACAATTGCTTCTGCCTTTTAAAAAAAACAGAACAAAACATAACACCACCAACA